AAATCAACATAATCAAAGCTCTTATGAACTCACAGAGACTACAGAGGCTAGCACAGTACAGGCTAGGGCCTGTACAATTCTGCACCAAGTCCAGTTTAAGTGTTTTAAGGGATTCCTGAGTATTTGAACAAGTTCATCTCTGATTCATATGCCTTGTCTTGGGCTCTTTTCTTGTGTATATGTGTTTTGTACAATTACAATGTGTTAGTTTTTGTTTTTTCTCTTATTTTTAACATTTTCTTTTAGAAGTCTGTTTTGGTTTTCTCTCTAATGGGAGATAGCAAGGGAGTGGATTTGTATAGGAAGGGAAATGGGGAGGAAGTGGGAAATACATAGAAGAAAGAATATCAGGATATATTATATGAGAAAAATATCTATTTTCAAAAAAAAGGAAAAAATGAAAAATGAGATTGTTCATTCCTGTTTCAGGTCAAAAATGAATGAAGAGTTTAATGTTTTGTAAAGAGCACTGAATGCCATGGCATTTTCTCACAGAAGACTTTCTCACTTAAGACTTTAGAGAGATTAGACATCCTGGCATAATCCCTAAAAAAGGGAAGAGTACCAAGAAGTGGAATAGGAAGAGGGAAAGTGAGGAGTATCAGTACAGAGATCAAGCTACTAAGCTTTAGAAGATGAACTATCTGAAAATTTAGTCCAGATTCATAATCCTGCATTTTACCAGCAACATGCATAACACAATGAGAGAGAGAATCAGTCATAGAAATGCACCCATAGCACCAATTATTATGACAAGTGGTTCTTCCATTGGAACCAATTAGGGTGAATAAATGGACTTATTACTGATGATATTTTGAATCACTATGCAGACTTATTAGAAAAAATCACATTAATTGAAGACTGCTCCTCCCAATTATAAACTTAGGTTTAAAATAATGAATCTCATTATTACTCTTCTACAAGTGTTTAGACTTAAGAGTTTATTCCTTACTATCTTTACAAGCAATGACATTGTTTAGCATCTGATATAATTTTATTCAAAAGAAGTGAGAGATATAACCCCATGCCATAGAAGTATAATTTTCAACCAAAAAGCACCCACTAAAATGAAACAAGACAAATGACTTACTGCCTGTTGTAGACTGATTTAAAAAAATTGACTTAGTCATCATATTTTGAATTTGTTTTTTAATTTAACTATTCATACTTATATTTTGGGGAACTTATAATCATTTCACCCCATATGCACCCCTTTCATAATTCTTGAATACTATAAATAAATGACAGTAACAGGATGTTTTTAAACTCTTGTTAGAAGACACTGACTTCACTAATGTTTGTCTGTCTACCTGTGGTTAGAACTGTTGGTAAGAGATTACTCTTGAGAACTTTCCGCCTAATCATGATTATTTAATTGGGATAATATATTAGTGTTAAACTAATGATGTAAATGGGGAAACAGTTTAAATAATTTATCGAAGAGTAAGCAAACAACTCATTTTAAAGAAAAATCCCACTCAGGTGAGTGGCAATGGGAAGCATACATAGAGACTTGTGATATAGTTACTTAAATCATTAGTGAGGACAGACAATTGACATATCTGCATGGGAAAAAAAATTACATACAGAAAGAAACTGATGAACACTCTAACTCCTTACAAAATGCTAGAGGTCATAATATTATAGCCCTATCTTAAATCTCTATGATAAGGGAAACATATCATTGTAATTAATAATGTACTATGCAAATTATAATCACATCATGGGACATTATTAGCAAAATGACAACATGTGTCTTTGGAGTAGGAGAATAAATGAACTTAATAAACTGAGAAGAAAATGAATTAGTGTTTAATCATGTATGGTCTTAATATTTAAGGTCTTAATTGAATTTGCTAAATATTGTCATTATTTTACTCAACAAAAATATGTGCAGCATTTGTCATATGTCAGATGCAACTCTAAGTACCATTGTTAAGATGACGAGACACACAAAGATTTCCATAATGATTTTACATTACTTTCATGTGACCTCTGTGGAACAAGCAAATTAAAATAAGATCACACAATGATTTTGTGATTCTGTGAAAAGGGGGTTTTGAAGTGAATAAAATGGAACAAAGCAACTGAAAAAGGGTCTGACATAGATTGGGTACATGGAGGCTAGTGATAAGGTATACAATGCAAGATGAGAATGTAAAGAATTCTGTCAAGATTTGTTTTAGAATTAGATATTTAGAATGAGGAAACCTGACAATCATAGACTCTAGGTGATAACTAAGCTTTGAATGCAAATACAAAAGAGACAAACAGATAGAAGGAAATGAAAATGACATAGAGACTGGCAATAAATTCAGAAAGTTTGCCAAGTGTAATGACATCAAAATGTTGAGCTTATTTTCTCCTCATTATATAAGTTACGCAGATGTTTAAGTGACTAAGGAACTTATATTTCTAAAACAATTGTCTAATTTGCTTTATAGAAAATGGACAGAGTAAATAAATTGATTAATGTGTCTAAGTATAGGCTGTAGCAGTAAAAAAAAAAAAAAAAAAAAAAAAAAAAACAAAACCCAGTAGTTTAAAAAAGACATCTCAGTATCTCATGGGTCATATAAAAATTATCACAAATTTAGCAGTCTAAAATTGTACACATTTATCTTCATGCCATTATTGAGATCCTGTTACTAAAGTGAGCACCCCGGTCTACAAAGAAGGTGTTAACAGAACTGACCTTCTGAGGATTGATAAGGAGATTATTCCTATACATTCTCCAACTTCTGGAGGGCACCAATGATTCTTAGTTTACACCTGTTTCCTGTTCCTCCAAACCTGTAATGTGAGCCAAGTCTTACTTACACTACCTTTCTCTCCTATGTCCATCCTTATGACTACATTAGTCACTAAAAAAAAAAAAAAAACAAAAAAACAAAAAAAAAAAACACCCAGAATTATCTTCCCTTTTCACTATTTGCTAATTATCCAGCCTCAGTTCTCTCTACAACCTTAAATCCACAATGTTATATATTCTTGTCTACCACAATAATTCCTGTGGCTGAAATATTGTGCACCCCAATAAAATTATCTGGGGGGTCAGAGAACAGAACAGCCACTGTATTAAACATAGAGGTCAAGCGGTGGTAGCACACACCTTTAATCCCAGCCTTATGGAGGCAGAGATTCATCCAGATCTCTGTGAGTTCGTGGCCACACTGGAAACAGCCAGGCATGGTGACACACACCTTTTATCCCAGCCCTTGAGATCTCATGTCTTGCTTGGGAAAGACACATGCCTTTAATCCCAGGAAATGATGGCAGGAAACAGAAAAATATATAAGGCCTGAAGACCAGGAACTAGAGGCTTTTTAAACTTTTAGGCCTTTGAGCAGCACTTCAGCTGAGATCCATTCAGGTGAGGACTCAGAGGCTTCCAGTTTGTGGAAACAAGATCAGCTGAGAAGTTGGCAAGGTGAGGTTGGACGTGGCTTGTTCTGCTTCTCGGATCTTTCAGCATTCATGGCAGTACCTGGTTCCGGGTTTGTTTTTATTAATAAGACCTTTTAAGATTCGTGTTACAAATTCCAGTTCAAATGAGAGCTAAAAGGTGGCTAGATTTCAAAAATAATTTTATGTTAGAATCAATGGGAATTATAAATGCATTGGATATGTATCAGAAAACAAACAAAAATCAGTAAGAAACACTTATCTAAATCTTGGTTTAAGTGAGTGGTGGGACCATCCAATAAGCAAATATAATTTGAGAGCCTTGGTTTCAGAAGACCAGTTGAAACATTTGATGCAAATTTAGAAATGTTCTTACTTAGGTTTCTAATTTTATTTAGCTATAATTTTTGTGTAAATACCTTTTGAGTTGCCCTAAACAAACCTCTGCTTTCACCAGTCAGGATATCAATGACAGAACAGAAGGTTTCACCCGAGTGTGGCTTGGTGAACCAAAAGTTTCAGTGAATGAGTTTAATTGAGGTTACTGAAGGAGGAGTTGAGAAGGATTGCTCTAAAAACACAGGGAAGTTAAGGGAGGCTGCACCATTGAAGAAAACGGTCTTCAACTAACTCTGAAGTTATGTACATATCCTTGAGGAGGAGTGCAGCCTCAGAGGCTCAGGATGACTGGAGCCTCATGTGTCCTCTTCTATACTAATCATCAATTGTCTATATATCCTTTGGAAGGGGCAGTGTTACTCCAGCCCCTACTCCACAATTTAGAGTAAATTGTTATCATCTTTACACGTCCTCTTTGAGAAACTACAGATGCTGAAAATTCTAGAGAGCAGTGACCATCTCATGCTTGGAGGACATTGTTCCACAATAATATTCTAATCAACCTTCCACCATGCATGCCATAACACAAGTAAGTAAATTATTCTCCCTTCTTTATCATTTACTTGATCATGTAATGGTTATTTTCTGTGTCTTCTTATGTAAATTTTAATTATTCAGTGCTTAGCAAGAAAGTAATTTAATTTGGAAAGAAATGATGTTATCCATCACTCATGTGTTTTGACAATGTAATGAGAAATCTACTTGATTTGCCATCTCTTTCTAATAATGAAGAGCACTCTACATAAACTTGATGGAAGAGCTGTATTTTAAGCAAGGAGCAGACAATTACTCTTACTTTTAATGGAAAAAATTAAATCCCATCATAAAATAAATTCACTTTTAGTAAATGAAATGTGCAGATATTTTAGAACTTAACAGCTCTGTAGAAAGAGATAACTGCTGTGATTTCTTTAAATAACTCATCCAATTTGTTAAAATCTAATAATGTAAACACTGATAATAGGGAAGATTTTGCAGATTTCATACTTAACTTTGAGGAAATGCATGTGATCAACTAGAAGAACTTTCTCTGATTATTCAAATCAATGTGAGGCAAGAAACTTCTGCTATGTGTAAAAATAATCATTTTATGTGGTTAACATTGTATTCTCCAGTCAATCGATAGAACATCCTGATTAGCAATAATAATTGATATACAGAATAACGTAATCATGAAGTCTCCAGGGTTTGTAATGACCTGGGTCTGTGTGAGTTGATGAATAAGAACAATGCAGCAGAGGGGTGAGCAGCAAAATGCTTTGGTACTTGGAAGTACTTTTTAAGCAGTAGAAAGTTTAAAAAAAAAAAAAAAAAACTTTAGTTTGGAGGATTACTGTACTATCATCATGGATACTGATTATTGCTATAAACATAAGATCTTTTTACTGCTTTGATTAACTGAAAGCAGTTTTCTGTGTGCATTTGTTTATTGTCCAGAAGGAAATAAAATTTTATTTATTTAGGCTTAGCCATGGATGAGATATCTTCACAAGTTCAACTACTTTCACTGTATACTATTAATTGTTTGCCAAACTGTATTCTCTCATTTTAAAAGTTAAATCGATTTTTAAAAATCAATAGTAACTCTATTTTAGACAGCTTTCATGAGTCAAATATTGGTGTAAATAAATTATCTCCGTAAATGGATCTATTTGCTTTACATGAGTTATCAGAGGAAGAGCAGTGTGTAACTTTTTAAAGGAATCATTGCCCTTATTATTTTACATACAATATATAACAAGACTTTGATATTTAGTGTTGACATACTCCAATCACACACACACTCATATGTACAGTCTCATGAACATTGCCACTGCCTACTAGTATGGCTAACATTTACCAGGTTCACTAGTCACACACTAGACATATTCTGACTCACAAGGTAACCATCTCCAACTCAAACTTGCATGATTCTGGACCCTCTGCTTAGCAGCACCTCAGTGATTGATCCACATGTGTCTTGAAGATTTATTTTTGTACCATAAAGTCCATTTTACTAGGAAGCCTGGCATGGAGCAAGCACCCTGCATCCTCAACTCATGAAAGTAACAGTTCATTTTCCTTGACAGGGCTAGATAGTTTCATCTTAAAGCAATGTTATTTTCTTGTGTGCATAGGACCAGAAAACCAAATGGAAACGAATGACCAGGTTCACTCTGCCTTGCCACAGTAAATGCTATATGCCAAGCAATGTGCTAATTATATATTTTATGGAGATTTATCTAATTTTTCCCCACAAAGTTATGGGGAGGGTACATTTACCCCTTTTGTTAAGGAATTTAGTAGACCAGAAGGTAAGTTACTGGTATTGTTTTATTTTTAATTATTTTAACATTTAATTTATTTTAAATAAAATGCATACCATCATAATAAATATAAAATTTCATAAAAGAGTAAGATGAGACATTCATAACAGGAAAAACCATTGTTAAATTAGTGAAGGGAAGGAACTGTTTTTACTTAAGAGTTTAGCCATGTAATCCTTTTTCATTACTTCTTTATTTATTAATGAATTTATCTATTGACAATATGAAAGGAATATACAATGCATTATGTGTTTCTCCCCTACCCTTCTTCTCTCTCTCTCCCACCCTTGCCAGCCTTGTTTGTCTCTTCTACATTTCTATTCCACATTCATTATTTTTACTTTGTTTCATGTCCCCAGGATTTTACCACAGTCATGCTTGTCATGCTAGATTTGGAACCATCTGTCACAACCTGGGGTATACCCCAACATTCACAAACTGGATGCTAGGCCTCCTCCTCTCCTGGAATCTTTCAGTTGCAAATAAATCAAAATAATAGAATAAGTGGTTCCCATAAATCCCTTGGTTCCCATGAGCTCCTACTCAACCTAGAGCTGACCATCAGAGGGGCCAAGCTTTTAAGTCTTTGAGTTAGTAATGGAAGGAGAGAAAAGTAAGAAATTACATAGGTAATTTTTAGGAAAACATTACTTAAATGTTTGTGTCTTCATAGGCATGGTCTCATTATTTTGTGATAGCCAAGGTATACATATAAAATAATACTGAACAAGCTCAAAGATATTTTTTGTTTGATTTTTTTTCCAAAGAAATGTTCAGTAAGTCTGACCCTGATCTTCCTGAACTTACATAATGTTGGCTTTTTGACAACCGAAGAAAAATAGAAGAACCCACACCAGTGTCTCCAAATATGCTTGGTTTATGGCCAGTGTTCTTGCCTTGATGCCAGGATACTGTTTCCAACCGACTTTAGTACAATGCTGATTTCCAAGACTTTCAGACCTAGACTCTTAACACATTCTCTCATATAAAAATACATTTAGTTTGAATAAAAGACATGGACAAAGATCTCATCAATTCCCCAAGGGGATAGATACTTATCAAATCTGTTCACACTGGATTTCCCTAGAGTTTGGAGAACAAGACTTTGCCTTGTAGTTCATTCTCTTGCCTTTGAGTGTTCTAACTTCTGAGACGTCATCATTTGAAAGTCTTATTGTTCCAGCTTTCACTTATTCTGATATATTTTTCTGATGTTTGAGTCATCATTTTTTAAAATCTTAGTTTCTTTCCATAACTCCTTTGACATTTAGTTTGCTCTATGGTATTACTGATTATGTGACATGTCGACGTTTTCTTTCCCTTCTTTAATATTTGTCCATATAGTCAGATAATCATGATTAAAAGAAAGTGCTTGACCTGTTTTGTTTTGTTTCTGCTAAATGTGGATTGTTCATAGAGCATTTTGTCAAAAGAAAAGGCAGAAAATTTCCTCCTTTTCTCAACACTTATGATGGTAAATAGGAAAATGCTGTTTTTATTACTTATAATAAAATTAATCATTATATAGCTATAAAGCATTTTCAGTCCACTGAAAATACTAATGAGGCCTTCTCTAATAATTTAATCAAAAACTTCATTTAAAACTTTTTATTATATTTGTTTGCTTATTTGTATTCATGTATGTTGTGTGTGCAGTTGCTCACATTCAACAGCACACACGTGGAGATCAGAGGACAGCTTGCCGGAGTCAGTACTCTCCTCCACCATGTACTATCTAGGGATCAAACTTGAATAGACAGGCATTGTGTCAAGTGCTATTATCTACCTAACTACATCACCAGCACCTCAACTGCATTTTTATACTATAAATGTATTGCATTATCCTAAAGAGTGGTAATTCAATTTTATTCGCTGAATAGTTTAACTGAAATGAATAAAATATGGCTACTCATTATACAAGGCTCATCTGTCATTACAATATTCTTAACTATCATGTCACCTGTTACATATCACATGTCAATGAAATTAATATTTGATACAAATTTAGCTTTTAAAACATAATAAGCAGAATTGAATTGGGTATGAAATTCTATTATGACATGTAAAATATTAATATTTCACTGCCTTTTAATTTGAATTTCATTGTCTATGTTTGTATTCTGACTAAGCAACGCAGACATGTCTTTCTACAGACTGACTAACAGACGGTTCTTTCAATCTGTGAAGTTTTAACATGTGGCTGATGGTGAAACAGTTCTTATCATTAAGGATATATCAATCGAAGTAAAAATACATTCTCCATCAGCACCATTGGAGAATTTACATTAAAGAAGTATTAAGAATCTGAAAGATAGAAGATATGATATATAATCTCTAAAAATCCTACGAGGAGTAAAAACATCATTGAGTGTCACTTAAGATGCACAACAGAAGGTAAGTTGAGAAAAAGGAGTGTAATTTAATAAAAAGATGACGGTCAGTGTTAACTGGAAAGAGATCTACGAGTAAAGACTTAAAGAAGCAGAGCAGGTACCAGTATGTCCTAGGGAGGCCATAACAGGCGAGATACAAAGCTGCGTAGGGGTTCTCACGATTCTCTTCTTTATGTACATGAGGTGCAGTGGGGAGAAGACCCAATGACAAGAGAGTGGACAAGGAGAGTTTGTGAAGATAAGCTGCAGAGCTCTTCAGCCCTTGTAGGCACTTCTCATATTCTGGCATTTCACTGAGTGAAATAAGGATGATTTGAGAAGTTTTCAATATTGGAATGGCATGGACTGACTCATATTTTGTAAGTGCCGCTGTAGCTGCTCTGGTGAAATGGGTTGCAGGTGCAAGAATTCACCCCATGCAGCCGGTTAGTAGATGATAATAAACCTCTCAAACGATGACAGTGATTTGATGAAGGGCTCCAACAGTGCTGATGGAGGATGTGGAAAAGTTCTAGTCACACTAGACAAAAGAGGTTGGCTTTGGCATATAAAACAACAAGGTATCAAAAAAGATTTCCTGTTTTTGAACTGAAAAGTGAATGTGTGACTTGCGGTCCTGCTTTAAAGGAGTCGTGCCCCCCCCCCCCACCACACACCCCATAGTCTCGATATTTGAATACTTGATCCACAATTGGTGGTGCTATTTAGGGAGGGCTAGGAGGTGTATTCTTGCTAGAGGAAGTGTGTCACTGGGAACAGTCTTTGAGGTTTCAAAACCCTCCCTCCACCTGAAACTCACACTGTCTATTTCCTTCTTGTGGTTGAAAAAGTGAGCTCTCAGCTGTTTCTGTCACTATGCGTGGAGTTTGTTGCTGTGTTTCCCTGCCAGGATGGTGATGGTCTTTTATCCCTCTGGGACCATAAACCCCAAATCTTTCTTTTATAAGTTGCCATGGTTGTGGGTCTTATCAGAGCAACAGAAAATTGAGTAGGGTGTTTGTCATTAACTAATGAGAAAAGAGCAGTGAGATGAGCAAGTGTTGAGAGGAAGCCTGGCAAAAAAAAAACAAGTTTGTTTATTATTTAAAATTGGAGTTAGACATTGTAGTAAGTTTGCAAGAAGCTTCTTGCTTTCAAATGTGCATGTATGAGAGAGAAGCTGAGCTGGAACTAAAAAGTTTAGACAAAGTTTGCCTGTTGATAAGAGCATTTTAGCTGGATTTACTAAAAAGTGAGTTTGAATAAAGTAGATCTCTGACTCTTTGTTTCTGACTATATTATGATAGTGGGTGAAAAATTGAGACCCCCAACAATGACACTGAAAAAAAATGAGCAGTAAGAAAAAATTCTAGAGAGGATGGCAGCGTGAAAGCAACATGAAGAAAATGCTTTAAAATTAGGATTTGTTTCATCTATTTAGAAAGGAAGTAGTAAGTGATTTTTAAAAAGGGGTTCCTACAAAATCAAAATATGATATTTGGGAAATATATTACTTAGAGTGTGTTAT